ATTCCTTCAATCTCTATCTTTTTTCATTATGCACATATGTTTTCACCATCCATCCGTCTTGGAATCTGAATCATTAGGTAAAGTTGCTAAAGCTATGATTAGCCTAAGGATTATTAGGAAATTAGTTCCTAACTTCGATTTTAGAACTCTCCAAGCATTAATTTATAGTCAAGATTCTGATCACTAATCCTGAAGTGATAAAATAAAGTGTTAGTATTTATCTTAATTTATCAGGAACCAAAGCTTTTTCGGTAGGAGAAATATTGCCCTACCAATGAATAGATTAGTATATTAATGTCAACAATCTCCTTCTTCATATACAATACCGTACGCCTTTATATCTGAAAGTATAGATATGAAACAAAAAAAAAAGGGTAAGATTTTTATTATTTAGAGAGTAAGATAAGAACCAAAAATTCCAAAATTAAGTGAATTTTTTACTTAAAATGAAAAAAATTTAATTTCAAACCAAAAGTTATTTAAAATAAGTGCTTAGCCAAACGTAGTCTCAAGGAAGCTTCTTATACAATAGTCAGATTAAGATTTTTAAGTGCTTTTTTCATGGTTCTTGAACCTAACCTTATTAAAGTTAAATGGCTAAAGCAGATTAATTAATTATTCCAAAATCTAGAATCCATACTCTCCCGGGAAAATGGTGATTCTGCCCCTAAAAATATTCCCTCTCTTTGTACAATAAGATTTAAAGACTAATTAGGAACTGACTTCTAGTGAACTTTACCCGGACTAAAAGTTATACCTTGCAATTCTATATAAATACCATCATTTGGCAATATTGTCATCACAAACAACATAAAAACCAGTACCAAATTTCTATTCTTTGTGATCAGTTAAAATTTGACATGGCAAGTCAGGAAAATCTTTTGAAGATTGGCAAAGAAGGGTTTATAATCATAGAGAAGTTCCTCCCCCAAACCAGGGATCCAACTACTCGCCAAGAACGCCAACAGAATGAATATGTTATACAAAAACCATCAAATGGGAGAAATCTGGTTTTCCCATTCCCAAGCAAGCCAGCTACTATCGACTTCAAGAAGGCTGCCATAAAATATGGAGGAATTCGTTAATATCTTCCAGTATTCTTTCTACCTCGTGCGTATTAAGGCTTATTAAATACACTGTTTCTTATACTTTTGACAATCACACTACTCATGAAGCTAGATATCATATGTTGTGCTTTTAGTCTGATGTAACAAACTACATAAAAAGAAACTCGATTTAGTTTTTGTAACCTTGTAACTTTTGTGTGATTTTTGTATTTTTACCTTGGTTCCCGTCCTAGAAAATCCTCTACTCAGGGCTTTGAATCTGCTGATTGCTTTTCACTGACAGTTCTAATAGCCATTCACTTCTTATCTACAATAACAGACAGCGTTCTTGCTATTCATCAAAAGAAATGGAAGGGAGATATTAAAGGAAGTACTCTTGAAAGTAGTTAAATGATACCCTGAAATACCTCCTCAGAAATAGTAAATCAATTAAAACTCTCGAGTTAAATGGGACACAACCGATATTTTCAAACATGAAGGGACGTAAACACTTCTAAAATAAGGAATCTGTTGTGTTTGTGCAACAATAGTAATGAATAATATGAAATCAAGAAAGAAAGACAGCATAATAATTTATATGGTTCAGCAGTAGGCCTATATCCACGAGGGCGAAGCAACTATGATTTTATTATGTGATGTAACCCTATTTATTCTGGTGCTCTCAACTCCACTTCGGCATCGTTCCATTTATTTTGGTATACATGTATTCAACTCTATATGAACCACATATTACAATAATCTTCACCTTGGCAAATATCCACCACTTAGGAGAAACAATGGAAAAACTTAGCCCGCTCTTTGAGGTATACCCTGGTTGTCGTTGGGACACCTCTTCTTTAGTGTTTAGAAACAAAAAACGTACATAAAGATAACCTTCGCTTATTTTCAAGCTTTGCCAAATATATTGCTTCTTTGTCCAAGTGTTACCCTTTAAAGTCCGTTGCTTTAATGAAAAATGATACAGTTAGGTAAGTTCTTTGCATCTTCTGCACTATGGGGAATCAAGTCAATATGCTCCTCCCAAGAGATATTTCTTTCAATCTCTATCTTGTTTCATTATGCACATGTTTTCACCAGCCATCCGACTTGGAATCTGAATCATTAGGTAAAGTTGCTAAAGCTATGATTACCCTAAGGATTGTTAGGAAATTAGTTCCTAACTTCGATTTTAGAACTCTCCAAGCATTAATTTATAGTCAAGATTCTGTAGTGATTAGGACTTAACTATTTTAAAAGTTAATTAAGCTAAATGAACATATTACTTGACATAGGGGTTGACCGACCTCTCACATTACATGTGGGTCCTGACCTGAATTAAATAATGTCGACCTCCCCCATGTGTGTGTGTTGTGTTATCCCCTATGTCAAGCATTATGTTTGTATAGCAAAACTCTTTAAAAGTGTTAGTGTTCCATATATTTTAGCAGATGTGTGTTTAATGTTGGGAAATTATTTAATTTGCCATGTGGGTGGACATATGTAATTAATTGTGTATAATGTTATCTTAAAGTTGAGCCCAATTAAAGTGATGTAATAAAGAATTACATTGTTGGGTTTAATGCATTTAAATAAAGTGTGGGCCGGATTATAAGCGTTGAGACCGGATCCATTGTGGTTTGTATTTGATGCTGTGTCAACTACATATGGAAACTATAAGTAGGNGAGAAACTCCATATGGGACCAACAGCTTGGGACACCTCTTCTCTAAAACATGGAGACATTAATTAAGTTCAAACTATAACTTATCCATGACAAAAGATTTTGTCAACATGTCTATCCCTTTTCTCAAAAGTGTGAACTTTCTCAAGCAATGGTTCACTAAAAGAAACCAATTCCGTGATCTTGTAAAACCTTACATCTATATGCTTGGTCCTTGCATGATACAATTGGTTCTTTGCCAAATAAATGGCACTCTGACTTTCACATTTTACATGAACTCCACCTTGTTGAACACCCAGCTCCTTGACCATTCCTGTAAGCCACAAAACTTCCTTGACAGCCTGAACCACTGCTATATATTCTGCGTCAGTCATAGATAGTGCAACTAGAGACTGAATCATGGACCTCCAACAAACAGGTCCCCTTGCCAGAGTGAATAGACAACCCATGGTAGATCTCATTTCATCCAAATTCCCTACATAATCTGCTGAAGGATCATTTTGTTGCCTGCTAAACATGATGCCATAGTCTATAGTATTGCTTAACTAAATGAAAATCCACTTGACTATGTCCCAATGCTATCATCCTGGATTGGCTAAAAACTTGCTCACCGCACTAACATCTTGTGCCAAATTCTGTCTTGTGCAAACCTACGTTTTTCATCTTGCTATGATTTCTAAACCTACGTTTCAGTAATTTTTTCCTTATATGATGATACGTGGTAATATATTAATTGATTCTTTTTTTGTATTTTTTTGTTATATATTATCGAGTATCATCATAAAGAAAAATACAAAACAAAAAGCCATTTTTTTTGCTCGCACCACACACACCAAGGCTCGACTCAATACTCCTACACCCGGTTGCCACAAGTTTCACTCTTCTATTAACCCACAAAGAATCAAGAATGGTGGATGCAATTAACCACAAAAGAAGGAAGAGAAGAAGGAAGCAATGGTTTCACTCAATACCACCAAGAACAGCTTCCCTCTTTCTTCACACACAATTGCACCACACACACGTTTTGGGAGGAATGGATTTATATATAAATTGATTAGGTTACAATTGGGCCAAAGAACCAATTGAATGGGCCAACTTAATAACAAGGTAAATGGGCTAAGTTAACGGGCTAACAAGAATCCAAAACCACATACTAATCAAACCACCAATCCATCTCCAACTTGGGCCTTCCAAAAGTGTCGGTCATATTCGAGTCGAGCCAAGTTTATGGTGTTGATAAATTTCCAACAACTGTTTTTCATCATCGCCCGAATTTATTGGGTATCAAAACCCAACATACAAGTTATGTGCAAGTTCAATAGATACATGGTTTGCTATTGTTCATACAACCATTATTAACATTCAGGTAACAATAATTTGAGTGTTGTTGTAAGCTCTGGGATGACACGAAAAAGGGCAATATTCTAGGTGATGATCGCAAGCTATGAAATCATAAAGTTAAATAATTCTAAATGTAACATGCCTTGAAATTGAGATGGCTCTACAACCAGGCTGACAAATAATATGGACGGATAGTAATTTGAAAAGGTCGTAAGAAAGCACCGCGTATGAATAAATAATAATTATTAGATACACTTTCTTATACTCTATAGAAAATCATAATAATTCTACTACTCAAGAAACCATTAAAATTAAAATATATGTTGTGCTTTTAATTTTCAAGTCTAATGTAGCAAACTATAATGTTGATCCATCTGTTGTCGTCGTTATTTTCATGTGATTTGTGTTGTTGTCGTACCTCGTCGTTTATAGTATTAATGCCTACTTCTTGTACCTTTGCATCTGCAGATTGGTCTTCACTGACTGTTCTAATAGCCATTGACTTCATATTTAACATAACAGACAGCATGCATTCTTGCCATTCACCAAAAAATGTTGTTAGGGAGATATTAAAGGAAGTACTCTTGAAACAAGTTAAATGTGGGGATTCAAGTCCATCAAGTCCCCTCAAAATTTTCCTGTAAAATAGCCAACAATTTACATTATTTAAGTTAAATGAGTGACAACCAATTCTTCTAACATGAAGGGACATCAAAAACTCCTAAATTTAGGCATCCTTAATATACGTTGTCCAAAGAGTTAGAATAGTTTAGAACAACCCCATTTATAGGATTATTGCTGGCAATGCTTTTATTGCCAGTAAAAACGGAGAAAGAAAATAACATTCAAAGATAGCTCTTACCCTTCAACAACAAAATCTTGGGTACGAGCAGATAATTTATAAAAAGAAAGAAAAATCAGACCTCAATGACCATGGAGAGTGGAGCTAGAACAATCATATTCCTCATTTTGTCTTCGGCTCTATTCTCTTGCAATTCCGCAGGTGGTGGCCTTCTAGCCAGTCCTGGTGGCCGTCTAAGCCCTGGTGGTGAAATGATTTTTAACGTCTTGAGTTTTGGTGCCAAACCTGGCCAAATACAAGAAAGTACTCAGGTTAATTTCACAATATTTATTTGAGTTTCATAATTTTTTCCCACTCATATTCTCTGTTTTTGGTTTCTGCTACGATTTCTCCAAGTAGGTTAGCTTTTTATTGGATTTCTACTTATTTATCCCGGTGCAGGCTTTCATTAAGGCATGGCATGCAGCTTGTAATTTCAACGGGAGAGTCAGGCTACTAGTCCCACCTGGGGTTTACAGACTAAGTGAAACCACATTTGGAGGGCCATGCAAAAGCCAATCGCCCATAATTGTTCAAGTTCAAGGAACTCTTCAAGCAGTTACTGATCTCTCGGCTTACACGGGCAAGGGATGGATCTCATTCAGCAATGTTAATGGCTTAACCCTGACCGGAGGAGGTACTTTTGATGGGCAAGGCCGGTCCTTGTGGCGATATAATGACTGCAACAATAATCCTGATTGCGTGCACCTACCCGCTGTAAGTATTTCTTAATTTACAAAATTTGGACAATACTGAAATCTTATCTATTATACATTCTAGTGTTGTGCAAAGAATTTGATTGTTCTTGACACGAAAATTGAACTAATTGTAATGTTTCGTGTTTCGTGCAGTCTCTGTATTTCACCAAAGTGACAAACGCCAAAGTAAAGTCTATCAAAATAATAAACGCCATGGGATTCCACATGCACGTTACTAATAGCTATCTGTTTAGGGCATACAGACTCGACATAACCTCTCCGGCTGATAGTCCAAACACTGATGGAATGCATATAAGTAGGTCCGCTAATGTGAAAATTTCCCGATCCATCGTTAAAACAGGGGACGACTGTATCTCCATAGGTCAAGGAGCAACCAATGTTACCATCAACAGGATAACCTGTGGTCCTGGACATGGCATTAGGTACATAACCTCGACAATTTCTTCTCTTTTTCTTCCTTATTATGCGTGGAAAGAAAAATGAAAAACATTATGTTTTTTGATGACAATGACAGTGTGGGTAGTCTTGGCAAACTGCCAAAGGAATTGGATGTACAAGGGGTCATTGTAAAAAACAGCACATTACAAGGTACAACAAATGGTCTCAGAATCAAAACATATCCAGCATCGGATCCGAGCAGGGCTTCAGGGATGCTTTTCCAGGATATAATTATGGACAACGTTGAGAACCCTATCATCATCAACCAGAATTATGGCACAAAATCAAGCAAGGTTCAATTTTATTCATCAATGTCATGATTAAAATCAATATGAATGTCGATTCTGATTTTTTTTTTTTTTTTTTTCGGGTTTCTTTGTACAGCCATCCCTTGTGAAAATCAGCGACGTCATATACCAAAATGTACGAGGAACCACGTCATCACCGGTTGCTGTCAATCTGATGTGTAGCTCACAGGCTCCATGTCAAAACATCCACCTTAACAATGTCAACTTAAAATTTCAAGGCAATTTGAAACTTACTGCTACTTGTACTAATGCACAAGTAGGCTACAGTGGAATACAAATTCCACCACCTTGTCAGTCCGGTGCTTCTGCCTAACTTACCGCGATCAACCTTGTTTGTACCTCTCAATTCTAAGTACGTAGAAGACTCGACTTGAACTCCCAGCACGTCTGGCGACCCGCTCCTCAGTGGCTGCAACAGAATGATAGGAAGCTGCAAAATGGGATTGAATAGACGGATTTAGTGATTAGAGTTATTTCTTGTTTTATATTAACCAGGCTTTCGGATTTGATAGCCTTCTACAATTATGTAGTGCAAACTTCAACTAAGGCAAAATAAAGTAACAAGCCACTCTAGATTTTAATTCATATAAAATTATAATTAAAAGTTGCAAACAATTTATATCTAGATTCAAATTTGGTTCAATCAATAAGTCATATTTAAAGGTGGCAAGGGTGGATTGAGTCAATAGACACTCAAATACCTAAGCTCGATTCGCCTCTATTGACGAGTCGAACTATTATCTTTCTCAATAGACTTACACCGAACCAATTGTATTTCTCGTATTTTATTACCTATAGTTTTTCAATGAATTATTTTAATTAAAATTTAAAGTCTAGCCTTCAACCAAAGTAAGGGGCTGTTTGGTTCTGCTAAAAAGCAGAAATCCAGCCGTTGGAATGGTAGAATTCCTACCGTTGGAAAAATTCAAGCCGCAATGTTTGACCCTTTGTGTGTTGTGTGGGACCTGCCTGCAACAATTAACGGTCAAAAAATCACAATTGTG